CGGATCCTGGAGCCTTACGATCCTGATGTCCATGTTTTGAACCCCAATTCACCCGAACATCTGCGCGCTTGGACTGAATTGGGCGATAAACATCCCGACTTTAAATATGTCTACTGACCAATGCACTCAAAAACAAACAAACAAAAATCGCAATGGTTCTCGCATTTTCTTTTCTTGGATTGTAATTAGTAGCTCGTCGTACACGTCTTCAAAAACATAGCAGATCTTTGTTTAGCTCTCTCTAGTCTCGTGAAATAGACTAATCAATCATCGTTCTAATGCTCGATCGGAATTCTAATCTGCTGGAATAATTTTGAAGCCGTCAAGTCAAGATTTTGCGGGCCAGGAACAGTGGACAAGTGAACACGTCATACAAAGTAAATCCATTGATGCTGCTCCAGAGCTTCCATCTCAGACGCTGAGATTGTAAGACGCGTTTGGGCACACCCACTCCATGGCAATGACAAGCAACATATACATGGAAATCTTCTTGGGAACCGGGGGGCAAATGGCAGGCCAATTCAGATGTCCATTGTGTTCTTCAAATTCATGGCTAATCAATCCAGGAAGCAGTGGTAGATTGCTTCAGACAAGGGAAGGCTAAAAGCACGGAAAGTATACGTTCTCAAGCCTGCTCCGCAAGCATCCGGATAACACTATGCAAATAGTTTTCTCAGAGTGAATCGATCTTCTTCAAAAGGGCACGGTGTTGTTCCTCTCACTCAAACAAGAGCTGCTTCCAAATTGACCATCAATGTTACATCAATCAATAGCCCAATCCATATATACAGACACCAAGATAGTTATGATTTTGTATCATTTCAAATCATGGATGACTTTGATCCTGTTGCAATCCACAACCCTCCCGAGATTTGATTTACATCCCTTAGATCTTGATTCTTTGGTTCAAAAATCATTTGTCAAAAGTCTTGGAGTAATATAGCTCTCATGTGAGCTGGTTGTAACTTAGATCAGTCTTAATTTAGGATTGGGTGGGGCTTAAAAAGTACTGAATACGAAGCCCCCCAATCCTGATGCAAAATCTAGTTACTTTGTCTGAAAATACAGCTGGAAATGGCCATTTTTTTCCTTTTCTTTTCTGTTAGAAAGTTGACACCCCTTATCTGATTCTTCAAACCCACATGATCCATAAACCCCAAACCGACCCAAAAACAAAAGGGAAAAAGACCCTGTGCTTACACATACAACATTGGGATAGATTACTACACACAACAGATGATGTCCAGACGTACATGTGTAACATCCTCATCACATAAGTACACAAACCAACAAACAAAAAAGTAAAACAATGAAAGATGTAAGTCCAAATGATGATGCTGATGATGTAGATTAGATGAACAAAGAGAAAAAGAGGAAGTGTGTACTAAAAGATACAACATACATGAAAAAATCTTAGATTTGTAAAGAAATCCTTTTTGTTTTTTTTGACAGGGAGGAGGAAAGATGGGATGTTGAGGTGAAGGAAGGGAGAAACAGAGAAAATAAATAAATAAATAAATAAAAAAGCAGACAAACAATTAAGATAGATCTAGTTCATTAAATAACAGAGGGATGAGCAAAAGAAAGGAAGAAGCAAAGAGAGATGAATGGATGCTTGAAGGAAGAATGTTAGAGGAGGATGAAGAAAGAAGGTAAATGAATCTAATCATGATCCCACGGGTTTTGATTAATACTGCTACTCAAACTAGGAAGTTTGCGAGATTTGAAGTGAGTTTCCAGACTGGTTGTAGACTCGTGATCCCCATCAGTAGTTAGCGTCTGAAGCTGATGATCATGGTTATGATGGGGATGGTGGTGAGAGGTTGTAGGACTAGGGGGACTGTTAGACGCGGAGTCCTTCTGATCGACCTGAACAGCCTGCAGATTGTCTTCCAAGTTAACGACCATCTTGACCTCAGGCGAGTTCCCAGAGTCGTGAATGGAGGAGGGGTTTTGAGGGTCAATATCGATAGAGAAGTCGACTCTGGAGCCGTCGTGATTGTGATCCGAGGTCGGGAGCATCTTATGATTCGAGCCATCGATCGACACTCTGGTATGTTCATCGATCGAGGTCAGGTCCGGATGGAGCACTTTGAACACCTTCTCCGGCGAGACTCCCGTGAACCGATTGGCTTCCCCCTTCAACCGATTTCGTCGGGTCCGCTCTTCCATCGCCCCACGATCCTCGATGAACAAGTCTACACACCCCTCCGGTAAAGAAGATGAATGCGAATTTGGCTTGGACTTCGATTTCAGTTTGGATGGCGGTGATCGAAGCAGACTCGACAGACGTCTACTACGCCCTTCAACCGGGCTGAGTTGGCCCTCGTCGAGTTCATCGTTATGCAATAAACTCGTCCTCCTGCCCGTCCCAGCTGGCACACTGGATCCTTTCTGTCGAGCTTTGCCTTTCTTGCTTGCCGGTGCCGCAGGATGGCTAGCTAGCATTCCATCTTCCCTGGCACGCATTAGCCGACTGGCCTCTTCCGCCGAGGCATCGACCACTGGATTGTTGTAATCACCTAGTTTGTTTAATAAAAGCAGGAAAACACACACACAGAAATCAACATTTCTCTACATGCTAGTATCGTTAAAGCAATGCACTAACCATAAGCCAATCTACGTGCATCACGATAAAGTAATTCCTCCTCCGCTCGAGGTTCACCAAAGGCAACTTCATCAAGGTCAGATCCCTCGTCAGACTCGTTCTCGTTGGTACCATATCCAAAGCCCTCAAGATCCCAGCGACCCACGTTCCCCATCAAGTGATCATTTAAGGGACGACGTTCGGCCTCAGTATTAGAGATGCCTTCTCGATGAACTATTCTCACACACTGACGAGTGCTTGTTCGGGTAAAAGGGGCGCGTATCCCGACTTGCTATCCAGGGTGTCTTTCCCAGGTGTCATTTTGTTAACGAACTTCGCCCACCGAGTGTCCCGCGCTTCCGGGACTTGATCAGTCGTCGACTTCCGGCCATAAGCCGAGCCTTCATTCTCTCCCGCCATCGGCAACCAATACTTTTTCTTACCACCAGCGCTGTAGCGAAGTCCAGCACGGACCCGTCGTTCGCGCACGATACCGTGATGATGAAGAGCACCCTCGGCGGGCTCGAAGGTTTTGTAGGAAAACCCGGTGCCGCGTAACGTCATCACTGTATCTTCTAGTACGTCTTTGAATCCCAATATGCTATCTCGAAACGCATGGATGAAGGGTAGTCGTCCACAATAGGCTACATTGGGTTCGATAAAGTCTTTATGTGAGAACGCGTAGAGGTGAAGGATTGAGAAGAGGGGCATTTCGAAGCAGATCAAGGTATCTTGTATGGCCAAAGAAAGCGTTTCAGTGGGATATCGAGCTGAGTGTTATCAATTTAAGAATCGGATTCAGTGTTTTGAGCAAAAACAGTTTTGACTGAGAGAAGTTATGTATTATACTGACCTGATTTGAGTAGGCCGAGAGCTACTAAGATTGAAATTCCAAAGCCTTGCCAAAAGCTGAAAAAAATCACTCCCTTGATGCAAAGGAATTTCGGCATCGGCCTGAACGACAGAAAAGAAAATCTATGATGAGGGACTTGGGATTGATTTGTTGAGCTGGAAAATTCTAGATTCACCCACCGGAACGGCTTCAAGTCGGCCCCGGTACACATCCAAAAGACTGCAAGACAGTATAAACCTGGTACATTTGATCAGCAGAAGGAGTTGAAAGTGAGGGTACCCTCAGTGAGCTCAATTCTTTCTCTCTTTCTTTTAGTCAACTTGAGAGTGACAATAAATAGAACTCCAAGGCGATGATTGGACTTGAAAATCGAAGCGGAAACTACTCAACATAGAGAAACACTGAAATTGTAAGCCAAGCTAACATAGGTGTACCCGTTTGTGAATTTCAAGTCGCCGTCATTATAAGTCTTTGTGGCTTTAAAGATCACTGTCACGATCACGAGGATCGGTTTGACCTGGACATATTCTGGATTGATCGAAGAATTAATTAGAACCCTATTCCGTAACTTTTTTTTTGCTGAAGCAGAAAAATCTAGACAACGAGTTCTTTGTTTTGTTTTTATAGGAGGAAGGTAGATAATACCTACGAAAGATGCCGCGTTTGATGTTGAGAAATGTGTACGGATCTGAGATGTCGATTGGAGAGAGGAGTTTTGAGAAAGGCCAAGGATGGGGAGTCGGCTTGAATTTATTAAGGAAGAAACATGCGTCAGTAACGACAAATTGACAAGGAAATAAATGAAGGCCGTGGTTTTTTCGAGCTTAACTTCGCGTCCATGTATCAGAATCAACAAGCTTCTTTCACCGCCCAAATATTCAACCAAGAGACCGAAGAAACAGCTGATCAAACGTGAAGTGATCGATTCGTAAAAGCACGTCCAATGAATAGTGAGATTGACGCCTTGTTTTGTAAATGAAAACTAGATCATATTCGGCGTACTAGATAACAAATGCCTCGTAAATATCGCGAATTAAATCGATAAAGAATGCCGCATCCAGTGAATACAGCGAGATTAGGGTCGATATTGAATAGACTGTGATAGCCACCCCACACACACCAAAGAAAGGGTCAGCAAAATGTTGGATTTTGTTATATCTAGAAATCCAGGACGGGAAAAAGAATGGTGCTTAACTGGGCACCATGAACAAGATCCTAACGACAAATCTTTGAAGAATAGGTTTCCGATAATTCCTCAACTGTTGTACGATACACCAAAATCTGATGATAGTTAAAAAAAATGAGTTTATTTGATTGAAATCGTTGACATAATTTTTCAAAGGAAGAGTACAGAGATTGAAAGGAAGAACGAACGACAAGAGGGTAGCCAATCCGGCGGACAGACTAGCAGACCATAAGATGTTCGGCGGCAGTTCCGATCCCGAGCCGCCGTTCCCATTCCTGCCATTATTGTTATCCGGTTGATCATCGGCCATCCTCGTCCATGAATCAGCATGCAGGTTGGGTCCATCGAAGACCATCGGGGATGCTGGATTGGAGTGTTTTTGGTTTCGATCTCCGTCTGAGTACGTGGGTTTGAACGAAACTCGGGAGTCGGAATCGGACGAGAGGATGCCCGGATATATTTGGGGGGGGTGGTTGTTGGCTGGGTCGATCGATGTGCTGGCTGTGAGGAGTGTTTCTGTTGACTGAAAACCCCGTGGGAGTTTGATTTCTAGTTTTCTGATCACTTGCTGTGAATTATTCAAGCACCGCCACGTTTGAAGTGAAGCTTGGATCAGACTCCGCAGAGACAGAAAGAGACCATCCTCCAACCATGACCAGATCCAACTTCCATAAGACTTGCAGCCTGACTGGCTATTAATCACCCTCACCCCTGCCTTGAGGAAACAACCTCACAAGCCAAGAGGAGAGCGCTCCCTTGATCTAGTGAACACTTCAGCAGTCGGGCTGGTGGACCATTCCTGTCTCCCTACACTGTACACATTCGCTTGACGGGCAATGATCACCAGTAGAATGGGGTTTCGAGGTTCTGGATGAGGGCCAAAACATTCTTCTTGCCCAAATTCCCAAGTGGTACATAAACCAAAACCTTCACCACAGGTTGAGTTTTGGAAATGGCAGTCCGTCGGCTTGACCCCGCGGTCAAGCACTGGTCGGGCTTAACCCCTTTTACGCAATCCCGCCGGATTTGTCTGGCCAACGTCAATTTTGGGTAGGAAAGCTGTAACTCCAACGTTGGCTTGACCTCAGGGTCAAAAAGTCCCACCGTTGGCTTGACCCCATGTCTGAAAATGAAGAAAAAAAACTTTTTTTTTGACATTTTTTCTACACCCTTTTCATGCCAAAAAACTTGTGGCCACCTCAAGAAAAAAAAAAAAAAAAAAAAAAAAAAAAAAAAAAAAAAACCTTGGAGAAAAAAAACTCAAAGACAAAAATCCTGTATGCAATTTGAAATTTTCTATCTATTTGTATGCAAAACCAAGGCTGATTGGTATAATATGATTGGCATAGTTGGATAAGCTGTCCAATCCTCAGCATGCGACCGAGCAGTGAGCTTAAAATGCTGTGAGCCTAGGTGGGGTGTTCAAGCCCCAAGCTGATTTTTTTTGTTCTGCAGCGCGCTGCTGGGCAGCCACTGTCAAAATGAAAAAATGCCGTCAAGCCGCCGCAAGCTTGCCAGGCAACCGCTGGCAAGCCGACGTTGAAGGGTCAAGCCGACCGCGGGGTATTACGCCCCCCGCTATGAAGCACCCCAAAATTTTGGTCAGAGCGGCATGGGTCAAGCCGACGGAACCGCTTCCGTCAAGCACTCGTCCACCAGACCCGTGGTGTTGGCAGTACACCTGGGGTGCAGTTCGACGGTGGTCCGACACCCCTTTTGCCTGTGGATCCCACGAGTGACCACTGGCAGGGAGTCGGACCAGGACCTGACGGTCCAGAGTTTTCCGTGGACCCCACCCACCCATTCCACGGCATTCCTCCGATGCTGCCCCGAGGAGCCGACGTGATTTGGGTAGGGCCGCAGTGGCAGAAACCGCGGGGGGCCTCAGAAAGGGAAATACCTGGGACTTGAATCCAGGTGACAGAGTGAGCTGGTCGGTCAAAGGTGAACCTTGACGACTAGTCCACAGGGAACTTGTTGTACCCAATGCCTTTTCGAGATCATACCGACCCGTCCTGATCGAGTTCCAGGTTATTTTTACTGACATCACAAAAAAAAATTCAAAGTTTTTTTTTTTTTTTCCTTCAACATTCGTTTTTCTGGAGCTTTTAGACTGTCAGGACCCATTCTAGCGGGTCCCGGTTGTAGGCAAAAAAATTTTGGCCGCTGTGGGACTGACGTGAGCAACGAGAGCCCGATCGGCTCGGATGGGAGTTTGTGGAATCAACGTTGAAAAAAACTCGGTTCGTGAACCGCCGTCAAAATCGGCTCTTACCGAACACTTACAGAGCCGATCTCGTTGGTTCCACGGATCGGCCGAGTTTTGTTGGTTCCACAATCCCGCGCGGTACGAACTGCCGCTGGGGTGACGACTCCCTTGTATGTAGAAAGGTAAATCCTGAGTCTTTGGGCATATTGATTTACAAACCAACATGAGAAGCATTGAATAAGAGCACACTAAAACAAACAAACTAGCCAGTAAATGATGGTCACCTTTTTGTATGCTGTACCTCTTCAGACTCCATGCCCTCCTTGGGAGATATCTCCTCTCAAGTTGACATGGAGCCATCTACAAGTACTACTACTAGGGCTGCAGACAACCAGGTTTGAATAAATTGGTTTACTGGTATCATCTCTTCATAAACACCCAAATAGATTTGTTTCCTCTCCTCCTGGAAAGACCATCCAGAAAATAATCTTTTCCTCTTCAAAGGATGTGTGATTGTTATCTTATCATTCAAGATAATTGAGCAAAATCATGATCTTCTTCTTCTTCTTCTTCTTCTTCTTCTTAGTTTGCTTGATCAAGACTCTCAGAAAACAAAAGTGGATTGTTAATCTTTTGAGTTTTTCCCAACCGATAAAAGAAAGAAATAAATAATAATCTAAAAGAAATCATTAATGAACTGCCTCTTTGCTACAAAATAAAAATCTTTGACTACCTACAATTTAAATGACTAAGATATCATATTATAGATATCCAGTTAAAGTACTTACACATGGTGTGCAAAATTACTGGTGGGATTGTTGGCCCAAACTTCTATTAGAGATGGTTGCAGGGCATCTGCTGCAGATATCCGCTATCCGCTGGCGGATACCCCCCAGCGCCAACGGATACCCGCCAGGGGGTGCGGATTTGGCTGTGGATGGCCGTTTTTTCCCCCAAACCTGGCGGATATCCGGGTATCCCCAGGGATACCCAAGGCCAATGGCCAACTGGAAGGGTTTCCTTCCAGCAGGCAATGTCTTTCAAGTCGGCAAGGATGTACCTTGCCAGCTGGAAGGGGTTTCCTTCCAGCCGGTGCCTCGCCGGCCATTTAAAGGGCGGGTATCCAAAGATACCTGCTCGGATACCCGCTAAGGCGGGGGGGATACCCGCCAGCGGCTGCGGGTGTGGGTGCGGATGGCAATTTCCCCGGAAAAAGCAGCCGGATATCCACATGCGCCGGGGCCATCTCCAACTTCTATGGGATGATTAATTGGCAAGCAACCAACAGTGTGTATTGCAGAACTACTAATATTGCCCTTTCATGTTTTTGCCAAGTGGCTGAAGGTTTTTTTGCAGGTGGGTCACAAACATGTAAATTAAAAGAAGCATTTTCAGTGTATGTACATTGTTTGATCAGACACACAATCGTAGTAGGGCAAGGGGTGTTGTGATTAAAATTGATAAAATTATATGTAAGGCCAATTTTAAGGCCTCTATCACCAAGATTCCAAACATTTGAGAATCTGAACTGCATGGGTGGTTTCTGAACAACCAGTCCAACCTTTCCACATTACAAAATTTTGACAACAAGCATCTTAAAATGGGATTCAAAATTTTATAAATTTTGATGATCAACCCCCAAAATAAGCTTACCAGTGTTTTTCATTTATAACAGTAAAAAAAAAACACTGTTTCACCAAACCAACATCATTTTTTTTTGGACACTAACTCAAGCAGAATGGAGCACTGCTCATTGGAACTGCAGTTCCTGAAGATGTCCACTTAGAACCCCCTTTTTGTTTCTTTCCAGGGACATCTAGCTTTTGGGGTGCTGTCAACTATTGAATCTTAGGGGCCTGCAGATCTTCACTAGAGTAGAATAGAGTCCCCCTGTATTCAATAGGATTTGACTTTTAGAAATGAATTGGTTTGGGTCCCCCATTTCTTGAGTCTGTTCAAACCTTCTCTCAAGTCTTGGATTGTTGTTTTTATTTTTTGATCAAGACCAAATCTAGATCTCATTTCAATTTCATGATGCATCTCATTTTTTGAGTGGTTACCCCTTCATATATGTGTCAACTGTCAGGACTAGAAGTGGGTGGAGTCTTCTATGTATCACCTGCCCTGAGAATTTTCGGATCCACTTCACAATATGAAGCATTTCTGGTTGGCTTCGAATTGGATTCAAGATAAGGTTTAAGTCACAACTGAAACCAAAAAAAAAGAATGTATGATCAGTTGACTTGAAAAATCTCTGCAAACTTCTCAACATAAAATTGAAAATTAAATGGAATATGTACTCATTTCAAACACACTTGAGGGTACATATAATCTAAAAAAAAAAGGCCAAGTAGTGTATAGATAGTTGTCTTGATAGGCTTTCTTTCATCATCTGCATATGTATCCTCATGCAATCATCAGAAATGAGCTCACAAGATAAGCGAGAAAAAAAATAGTGAAACAAGAATCAAGTAACGAAAGAGTTACCCATAAACAAAGGCCATTGTGTATAACCCACCATAGATATACCATATTTAACTACCGACCAGAAGCGGAAGCGCTTGATAAGCCTTTAGGGACAGGGAGGGCCATCTCACCTAGGACCGTAGTCTGCCGTTGCCGCACACTGAATAAGCGCAAGGATTGCAGTAGTGCTCCCAACAAGTGATCCGTATTTGGGCAAAAGGGGAAGAACGAGGCCTGAGGGGGAGGTGTAAGTAAGGCTGAATAAGTAGGCTTGCATGCACACCCTACCACGCAAGTGCATGTTTACGCGAGTCGACAAGGACCCTTTGCTTGGGAGACTCCATGCGCAATGGGGGTGGATCGTGAGTGTTGGTGTGGATGGATGAACGCAGGTTCGCAAAGAAACGATCGTCAAACACGTCTCATGAAGTTTTCAAGTACACCTGTGATTGGCTGCTGGATCTAAAGAGGGGGGGGGGGAGACGGAGGGAGGGACATTCAAATGCGGTTGACGAACATCCGCGGCTCTTTATATTTAGGTGAGGAGTGCTCGAGTGAATGAGCATGTAAGAAGGACTTAAAACGGAAGACCAGGAAAATTAATGTTTTGCAGCTTAACCTTCTTTGGATTGAATAAAATATCCAGGAATATTACAAGCGGTGGATGAAAGCTGCCCCACTCACCCACACACAGATTTATTTAAAAGGCGCTGAGTTGGAGCCAAGCCGCCCGCCTACATACAACATACGCCGCGGGAAACGATCGACGTCTTGGTTGAACAACTTCGGCCGGGAAAGAGAAGCCCAATTGTAGAAAGTCCCACTCCGAGGAAGCACCTGTACTACCCGAAAGAGTCCACATCCTTTTTTCCCTAACATTAAGCATCCACTCTCCACGAAGCATCTCTGATCTACATAATCGTCTTTACTCTCGACTTGAACCCTTTTTATCTTATTTGATCACATACAACAAGACTACCTTATTCACACAGTTTTTTCAGCGTTCGCTAGTCGGCAAGATTGGACTTACACATTCAGTTTAGATATCATTATCACCACGGTGGCTGGACTGGAATGGCACATCCATTCTACAGCGATGCGACCATCAAGGGCAATGATCCCGACACAGATCCGACTGACAATATTGTAAAGTCAGCACCAGAGAAACAGCCCGCTGGTCATTCGGAGGACGGAAAAGTAAGGAGGTCGATGAGTTCTATCATCTTCTTAACTCCTCTCTGGCTCATCATCTCCCAACAGTCTTGGCACATTCTCATCCCTCGGACTTCCTCCTTCTTATCCATTGTTGAACTTGATTTTATTATATTTATGACATGTATCTTTTTATTTTTTTTTTGCATGTAGTCCACTAGTCAACTTTTGGAACGAAGTGCTTTATGGAAACTTGATCTAACGTTGAGCCATCCTAGTTTATTGGCATCTTGCTTTCTATGTCCGTTCTTAAAACAGTCTGGACTTCATGGGTTCCTTCTTTGCTTTTGAAGGGTCATTCCAATCGTAGCCATGTTCTACTTTTTAAGCTTCTTGGATCGATCTAATCTGGGTAAGTTTATAGCTTAAGCTATACCCACAAACCACATGATCTCCAAATCCATTCGACTGATCAACCGATTTGATTGTTAACTGGATTCGGTCTTCTCATTTATATCTTTTTTTCTCTTCAGGAAATGCCAGGATTGCGGGTGCGTAGAAAAACATAAATAAGTTTCTCGAAAGTATTTATTTTTTTGAAATGTGTTTGACAAGGGATGTTGCTCTATCAAACAGGCCTCCAATCCTCCCTCCATCTGTCTGATCACCAGTACTCGATTGCCTTGACGGTCACCTACATGTAAGATAAGATTGTCCATGAGTTTTTTTTTTATATCAAAAAAAGGCATGCTTAACGTTGTCTTTTCCTCTACAAGTCCTTACATTGTGCGTCAGGCTCATCCTCCCAAAGAAATGACAGTGATGCATATCCGCGATGGATGAAAACACCAATTTAACAGACTCAAAGATTTGTTATAGATGGCCGAGATTCCTGCAAACTTGCTGCTAAAGAAGCTTGGGCCGAATTACTTTCTACCAGGGATTGTGACCTGCTGGGGCCTGATCACGACCCTCCAAGGCTTCGTCAGGAGTTACTCCGGCTTGATTGCCGCCCGGTCAGAACCCCATTCCAGCCTTCTGTTTTTCTCCCCCCCCCCCTTTTTTTCTTACAATTCACTTGAGAAACTCATTGGCCATGATGTGAAAAATTGGTCTATAGTTTTTTTCTTGGTTTGGTTGAAGGTCCGTAACATGAGTTTTGTTATTTCTCTCATTGCGATCGGAATCCTTTCTGATTGAATCCATCTTTTTCGACTCAGGTGGGATGTTTCCTGTGAGTAATGAGACCAAAGAAGATCACCGTTATGAGCAGCGCTAAATCAGAAGAAAATCAACCCCAGGCGATAGTGTTATACCTTTCATTCTTCTATACGAGGTCAGTACTCCTTCCTCCTCATGATTCAAGACAACAGAGCAATAGTTGAAGGTGTTGTGAAGTTGACATCTTGAATCACGCCAGACGCGAGTTGCAGCTCCGGATCGCCCTGTTTTTCTCTTCCGCGTCCTTGTCTGGCGCATTCTCTGGTTTACTTGCATACGGCATCATACGGTTAGATGGTAGGGGAGACCTGGCGGGATGGTCTTGGATTTTCATCGTGAGTTTCATTTTTCACTTTTTTGTTTCTCTTTGGCAAAAAAGGCTTTCAATTTTTCTAATGGACGCAACTGATTCTGCTCTGTCTGGTTGGTACTGGACAACAGATCGAAGGACTATTCACGTTCTTCTGGGGTTTGATCTCCTTCTTTATCTTCCCGGCCTCCATCGAGAGCAGCAAATACTTGAACCCGAGTGAGAAGGCGTAAGCAATATAAGAATAACAGGGCCCTTTGAGTTGACAATCATCAAGCTGGAGATTGACTATATCGAACATCCTGCACAAAGTATATTGAAAGCACGGCTGCTCAGGGACCGTCCGATGGCAGACGATTCACTCGATTGCTTCTCGTTCGCCGAGGTCCTCGCTTCAATAAAAAGCCCTCACGTCTTGATAAACTTCGTCTCACTCTTCATGTCCGGGACAGTACTATACAGTCAGGCATACTTCCAACCTACCAGTCAGTCATCTCCCTGAAAGTTAACTCGAACCCCTTTTGAACTGCAAGTTCCCTAAATCTGATCATGCTTTCAAATTTTATCCCCTCGGATGCACGAACCAAAAAAAAAAAAAATCGGTGTTGGGGGATGTTTTAAAAATACTAGTTGTCAACAGTGTCAGTATGCCGATTCGATTCTGCGACCAAATGGAGTGTTGTTAATCACGGGTTTATATGCAGTTAGGATACTCGGCATCCCGCAGTCAATTGATGAGTGTTCCGCCTTTCGTGGCAGCGTTTGTTGGCAAGTGTTTTTGTTTTCTTCCTGGAATCTAAATCAAATGATAGATAGTGGACTGATGAGATGTATTGGGAGATTTGTAGTGATGCTTGCGACGGCGTACATCTCTGACAAATTTTGCACGAGAGGGCTTGTAACGATCGGGTGTGCATTGACTGGGGTGAGTTGAAAGATTCTTCGAAAAAGCTCGCCAAGAAAGAGAGAATTAGTAAAAAGGAGAGTGAAGCGCTTGATGATGATGATGATGCTCATGCTTATAGAGATGGGGTGTCTGCAGATGATAGGTTTCATCTTATTTCATGTAGCCGACCAAGACCAGATGTCATTGAAGTACGGCTCGTTGTTCATCTCGCTTTCTGGAGTGTACTCCACCATCCCTCCACTCAGCGCATGGCAATCCAACAACAGTGAATGTCATTACCGAAGGGCTTCCTCGATTGCACTCGGCTTCATAGCTAGTAATCTAGGAGGGATACTCAGTACTTGGGTTCAGTCTTTTTTTTTCTCTTTTGTCGCCTGTTCTCTTTGTCTTACTGGGATGTCAGTTTATTGACGTTAATCCCTGTTTTGTTTTTTTCTGGTCCATGGTTTGACAGATCTTCCCTCAGTCAGAAAAGCCAGGGTATCGTACTGGGACGCTACTGAGTCTTGCCTTGTAAGTCACTTGTTTCTGGCGCTGTAACAAAGCCCTGGTCACAGAGCGTCGTCGCTCTTTTCTGATTTCATGGATGGATGTGATCCGCTCAGTTGCGCCGGAATGATCGCGACGGTAAGCTGCAACTTGGTCTGGCTCAAGTCGGCGAACCGATCAAAGATTGTTAAACGAGAAGAGCTACTCAAGGACTATCCTAACCATGACCAAAAGTCCCACCCCGAGAACAAGAGGATCCGTCAACGGGCCTGGGCCGATCTAGGCGATCGTCATCCCGATTTCAAATATACTTATTAACTACTTCTCCGGTGTTCTATTCATCAATCATTCTATAATTTGCCCACTTTGACCTGCTCCTTGCTTTAGGAAGTGCTTCAACAGTACCCTTTTCCTTCACTTCTTGTCCATTATCATCATATGTCCAATAGATTTTTTTTTTTTGGGGGTTGGAAAAACGACTCCCAAAAATTAGTCGACGACTCCCGTTTTGGTCGAGGGGTCGTCGGCTGGGAGTCGTTCTTCCAAAAGATGGCCGACTTTGGGAGTCGGCCATCAAATGTTTTTTTTATTTTTTTAATTTATTTTTGGGGAGTCGGCGCCCCAAACCGCCCCTCATGCTTGAGGGGGTTTGGGAGTCGTCGCTCCCGCTCCCATGACCGACAAGAAAAAGAAGTCTTATCGACCGGAAGGGATTCCTTCCGGTCGATGAGGTAAAACACCCTCATCGACGGAAGGTGGATTTCTTTCATGACCTTTTCCCACTCAACTTAGACTGAATTATTGAGTCCTACACTGTAAAATGCATACTGGTGGTAGTGTGTATTGAGGTACCTGATGTGTTGTTCTACACTAGAGCTCTGAAAGCCCAGGAAGATGGAACACACATATGTCACCAAGCTTATGTAGTAAGCATGATGGCTGTCTGATAGGTCAGATGCCACATCCAAAGCTTTTGCAAGCTACATAGATACATACCTGTTACATAAACCAACAACATGCGTCCAAACCCCAAACCGGCAGTGAGTGGGACAGTTGGCTCTCTATCAACACATACCCACTAGTGAACCAATTTTACTATGGGTTATAAGGATCATGGGTGGAGAGTGAAAGTCTCTATATTAACCCATGAAATCATGGGTAGATGATGACACCCTATTTTTTTCATGGGTTAATTGATACAATTTCTCTTTTAACTCACAGAAGGAATGGGTTAAGAGATGCTTCTTTAATTTTGAGCAGACTGCTTCCTTGGTTGAAATTTGATGTGTCTAGAGGTGAATTTAACAACTAGGGTTTGGCTAGGTTTATCAAGCCACTCACTCCCCTTGTTCTTTGGCAAGACTTCCCCCATTTCAGTTTAGCCATCAAACCCCCATCAATCTTTGTGTATTGGGTTTCATTTCAGAAATTAACTGCTCTTCCAGTACATCAATATTTAAAAAATAGAGGGCTGTAGACTGTTTGCAATTGCTTGTGAAACATAAATTGAAGGATTTGTTTCTTGGTTACGTGTCATTTGAACAATGTAAAAAAATGATTTTGAGAGGGGAGAAATAAAGAGAAGAGACATGAGATGGATGTGATGATACAGGATTCGATTCAAGCTAACCAAACCTGAATCTTAGATCAACTGATATAACTAGCAAGAGCCAGAACACAGACAGCTAACTGACAAATACCCAACCTCTAGCAGCAAAAAAAAGCAGATCTTAACAGGGCTCTTTTGGAAAAGAAGAACAAAGAATATTTGAACAAAATTCATCCCTCTCTGTGTTGTAAAACCTACAAATTATGTACTTGTGAAAAGCTCCTATTCTTCCCCATGAAGATCCATTTTTTTCCAAAAAAGGGTTTGTGTTACTGGGCTAAGCTCACATTTCCCTTTCCACCAAACTGGTGGACTGAGTTTGCCGTGGGTGAAAAGAAGCATGGGTTGATGGGTAGATGCAATGATAGGGAGTCAACTGTTCCTCATGTCATGAGTGAGGCCTTTGTTACTGTACTTGGGAGAGGGCAAAGAGAGTGTCACAGGTATGTTTTGTGACATCCGGGTGAAGGTAGTAGTGTATATGCATATGGAGGGCATGCATGCATATGAGAAATCCTCGACCCAGTCGAGACATCTTTTGCAGTTCTTTGCCCACCCAAGCAAGACCGACACCCAAGACCAGCCACCGATCGCACATCAACCCAAACATGGCCTCGCTTGAAAGCCTGTTCAGCAATCCCACCGCCACCGCTCCTGGAGGATTCGGCGCGAGCGTCGGCTTGGACTTCTTCGAAACACAGTTGGTCGACTCGCAGGCTAGGACCTCCGTCGAGGATGTCAACGATGACTTGAAGATCGAGGTCGAACTGTTTGAGTCTCTCTTCTCCCCCCCTTTTTTGTTCTATTCCTTTATTCATCCCTGCTTCATCACCATAATATCGCTCGTACATAGATGGCATGACATTGACTTACATGCCACATTTCCTCCTTGTCTTCCTTCCAACCTATGATTCCAACCCAAAAAAAACTGCGACTCCTTACTCTGAACGGAACCACGTGAACGATGAACAATGACACCCGTCAACCCCCTCACAAAACACCACCGCAGATACAAGAATGCACTAGAAGCGGCACAACAAGCGGTGCGGAAGTTCGAGACGAGCGGGAAGCCGTTCTTCCGGCCGTCGGACTACTTTGCAGAGATGATCAAGTCGGATGCGCACATGGAGACGATCCGGCTGCGGCTTGTCGAGGAAGCCGAGGGCCTCAAGGCCTCCGAAGAGGCCAAGAAGAAGCGCGAGTTGAAGAAGTTCGGCAAGGCGATCCAGGTCGAGAATAAGTTGCAGCGCGAGAAGGAGACTAAACGGATCAAGGAGGGCGTCAAGGAGCTCCGCAAAAGTTGGTGACACCCTTCTTTTTTTCATTATCCTCTGATTTTCGATCGGGTTTCTTTTTTTTTGTTTTGTGGTTGATGAATGTCTGATTCAATCCAACAGACCGTAAGGATGTTACCAAACTAGATGGCCAGGGGGAGCAAGAGTTTGAGATTGCGATTGAGGAGACGCTTTCGGGGAACCCGAGGAAGCGGGCGGGAGGGCCGTCGGGATCCGGAAAGGAGTCTGAGGGACGGAAGAAGAGTCGGACGGGGCGGGAGCGCCAGTTTGGGCGGCCGAAGCCGAAGGGCGTGACTGGGCGACGATGGAAGGAGAACACCAAGTCGAGTGCCGGCTCGTTCGAGGGCATGGGCGGCAAGGGCGACGGCAGGATCTCCAGCGGCACCGGCCGTAATAGGGGCCGTGGAAGGGGCGCTGGCGGAAGCTCCAAAAGAGGCTCCCATCGCTCAAAGAGATCCTAATCTTTCCCCTTCTTCCTGGATCTTGCTCTTCATCACTTGTATTTTTCCCCCTTCCCCTTTTTCATAAAAGGACCTCCCTATCCATAATTGCAATCCTTTTGACCAAGCCCAGACCTTAATCAACTTTGCAACATCATCCCATTCGAGATCTGCATTATCAGCAGGAAGACAGACTGTGCACGTATAAGTTAAGAAAGGTCTAGCCCGGTCTCATTCTCCATCTCTCAACCTCACTGGGGCATGCGTCTCTCCCCCTATCTTCTCTCTCTCTCTCTTCCCCTTGCGTTTATGTGTCTGTCCACCCAAAATCTTAGGTCCAAGGTCCTCGCGCAAAGAGATGGAAAGAGAGCAGGAATTCCGTCTCAAAAAGTACAAGTCCAATTGGCCTAAATGTTCATGGCATACTCAGTCACAGCATATCTGAAATCATCCGAAGATAAGTTGTGAAGTTCTCCAGCCAGATCTATCATATACTGTAGCGAGCTTTTTTTTGTTTGTCTCATGAATACTCTGTCCGAGGTGTGGTGGGTGAGACGTAGTGTTCATACTTTAAACACACATTGAGGATCTACATGGCTAACTAATGATGATGATGATGAAAAAAAGGAGAAGTGATTACGCCTCCTCCCAAATCTTTGTTGCACTCACTTGTTCCTCCAAGACATGACGAAGGACACGACAACGGTTGACGGAAAGAGAGTGGAGGTCGAACTTGAAGAAGACAGTTTTAGGAGATCTGGTGGGGATGAGAGTGGGGGAAGGATGTGGCGAGGCATAGTTATTTTCGGGTTTCTGTCCGAGCTCTGTTCTCCTGAGGCTGGAGGCCCTCGGGTCTGAGAGCAGAGCGTCCGTCTTCCGCCGTGGGATTGCTCCAGAAGCGCCTTCCTGCCGAGGCGGCTCAATGACTTCGATGCTCTCTGACCCGCTGCTTTCTTCTTCCGTCGACGAAGGCTCCGGCTCGGCTCGAGCTGATCGACCCGGCCCGGGTCCCCGACGCATCGGCAGGGGCAGGCCGGGCTTGGGAAGCGGCTTCTGGCCGACGGGAGTGTTGCTCTCCGAGCGCAAGCGTGAGCCTCGACGAGGATCGCCGCGCTTGTTCCTCATGAGCTCCTCAGACTCATGCTCCAAAGCTCTCTTGTCCATGCAAGAGCCGGGTCGAGGGACCGGCTCGGGATCTAAACGGGAGCCAGTCGCTGATCGTGGAGTCCGCTTGGATGATGTTGAAGTCTTGAGGGAGGCGGGCTACGGGCTCTCGACCGAATGGCCGGCGCGCGTAGCTGAA